TCCGGAAAGTGAGCTTTTGAATCAAAGAAACAAGACCATTTATGATTTTACGTGGATGGAGGGAGTGGGGGGGAGGGGGAGGGGGAAGGTACTGCCATCCCCAGTTCTCATTCCTCCCCCATGCCCCCCCCCTCGCTCCCGCCCTCGCATTCTGGCCGTATCTCGCAGTGTGCCGTTATTGACCCTCCCTTACGCCCTTAAACTGCCGTCGCCTCCCCTCTCCTCTCTCTTCTCTCTTCTCTCTCTTATCTCCTTCCCTCCCCCTCCCTCTCCATTAGGTTTTATCTACCTCTCTTTCTCCTTTCTCTCTTCTTTTTGCTTTCCTCCCTTCCCTCCTTTCCCTGCCTCTGTCTCCCTCCCTTTCCCCCTCTCTCGCTTCTTTCTTCTTTCCTCGTCCTCTTTTTCACCCTCCCCTCTTCCTCTTGTTCCTTCCCCTCTTTCTCTCTTTCTTCCCCCCTTCCTCAACCCTTTCTCCCTCCCTCTCTTCCCTCCATCCTTACCTTCCTCTTCTTCCTCCCTGCCTTTCTCTGCTCCTCCTTCTCTCTCCCTCCCTGTCTTTCTCTGCCTTCCTCCCTCTCTCCCTCTTTCTCCCTCCCTGCCTTTCTCTGCCTCCTTCCCTCTCTCCCTCTCTCTCTCTCCCGATTTCTCCGCCTCCCTCCCTCTCTCCCTCTTTCTCCCACTCTCTCTCCAGATTTCTCTGCTTCCCTCCCTCTCTCTCTCTTTCTCCCTCCCTCCCTCTCTCCCTCTTTCTCCCTCTCTCTCCCTGGGTGTTCGCGGCCGCCAGTTTACGCTCGACGGAGTTGAAGTTTGCGGCGATAAATTTCGAGTGGCACTCGGAAATTCACCTTTTTGTGCGGTTTTGGTTTGCGGTTGCTCCGTCTCCGTCATGTTGACAGACCTCCGGGGGGCCGAACCATATACATTTGTTTATTTTAATGTGCGTGCTTTTCCGATTTTAGTAGGAAGGGGAAAAGAAAAGGAGTAAGGAAAATGTAAGAAGATGAAGGAATGTATGTGGAAGGAAATAATCGAGATGGTGCTTGACAGACCTCGGGGGGGGGGGGCGAACCATATACATTTGTTTATTTTAATGTGCGTGCTTTTCCGATTTTAGAAGGAAGGGGAAGAGAAAGGAGGAGGAAAATGTAAGGGAAGACGAAGGAATGTATGTGGAAGGAAATAATCGAGATGGTACTTGACAGACCTGGGGGGGGGGCGAACCATATACATTTGTTTATTTTAATGTGCGTGCTTTTCCGATTTCAGTAGGAAGGGGAAAAGAAGGAAAGAGAAAAATGTAAGGGAAGACGAAGGAATATATGTAGAAGGAAATAATCAAGATGGTACTTGGCAGGTCTCAGGACAAGTTCCGTTTTTTTTAATATTATCTTATTTTTAGTTGGTCCTTGCCTACGGCCATCACATCTTCGAATGCTTGAGTTCCTTCAGAATTAAAAGGATTTTTTCTTTTCCTTTTTAGTCTTAACTATTGAGAAAAAAATATGTATATTCAAGATTCACAAGACACGAAGAATATTCCAGAAGTTACCGAAGAAAATTTCCTACTTTCTTTCCCCCTCGGTCTCGCACTCCCTCCTCCTCCTCCCCTCTCCCCCAACACCAGAATATCACTCACGCCCCCCCCTCCAAACACCCTCCCTCCTGCTCCCCACACCAGAAAATCACTCACGCCCCTCCCCTCCCTCCCCCCACACCAAGAAAATCACTCACGCCCCCTCCCTCCCCCCACACCAGAAAATAACTCACGCTCCCCCTCCCGCCACCCAGAAAATCCACTCACGCCCCCTCCCCCTCCCCCCAAACCAGAAAATCACTCACGTCCCCCCTCCCTCCTCCCTCTCCCCCACACCAAAAAATCACTCACCCCCCCCCTACCTCCCTCCCTCCCCCCACACCAGAAAATCATCACGCTCCCTCCAACCTCTCCCTCCCCTCCCCACACCAGAAAAATTCCAACTCACGCCCCCTCCTCCCTCCCCCTCTTTCCCTCCCTCCCCTCTCCCCCCCTCTTCCCAGTTCCAGAACCTCTTTTTTTTCCGGAAGGTTCTCGAACAGCATTCCGACCGGGAAAATGGGAAGCTGGAACACCGCGCCCCCTCCTCCTGCGCTCTCGATCTCGTCCCGGGTGATGGATTTCGCCCAACTGCCCAACCGCCGACGGGCCTTTTCGGGCGGAGGGGGCGGCGGGGGGCGGGGTGCAGACGCTGGTGTTTTGCTCTTTTTTTTTCTTGTTTATTTTTTTTTCCTGATTTTTTTAAAAAGTTTGTTTTATTTCTTTTTGTCGTCCATTGTGTATCATCGTCATCATTATCATTATCATTATCATCATCACCATTATCATCACCAATCAACATTATCATTATCAATCATCATCATCATCATCACCACCATCATCACCATCATCATCATCATCATCATCATCATCATCATCATCATCATCATCATCATCATCATCATCATCACCATCATCATCATCACCATCATCATCAATCACATCATCATCATCACATCATCATCATCATCATCATCATCATCATCATCATCCATCATCATCATCACATCATCACTCACCACACACAACATACCCCACGACACACATACCAGGCAAGTCAAGTACGAAGGGGAGGATTTGGTCGAAAGGTCACGTGACCACCACCTCTAGATCTGAAATCTGAAGTGATCATCGACAAGAGATGGCAAGCAGGGTGGAAGGGTGGATGAGAGAGAGAGAGAGAGAGAGAGAGAGAGAGAGAGAGAGAGAGAGAGAGAGAGAGAGAGAGAGAGAGAGAGAGAGAGAGAGAGAGAGAGAGAGAGAGAGAGAGAGAGAGAGAGAGAGAGAGAGAGAAAGTAGGATAGGGAGAAGAGAGTAAAAGGGTGGATAGTGAGAATGAGGAAATGGCAGGGTGGTGATGAGAAGAGAGAAGTAGGATAGGCAGAAAATAGTAAAAGGGTGGATAGTGAGAATGAGGAAGAGGCAGCGTGATGAGGAGAGAAAAGTAGGATAGGGAGAAGAGAGGAAACGGATGGATAGTGAGAATGAGGAAGAGGCAGGGCGTGATGGGAGAGAGAAGTAGGATAGGGAGAAAATAGGAAAAGGGTGGATAGTGAGAATGAGAAAGAGGCAGGGTGGTGAGGAGAGAAGTAAGGGACAGGGAGAAAAGAGAAATAAAGTGGTTAAAACAGAAGAAAAGTGGGGTAGCGAGAAAGGAGAAGATGAAGGGTGGTGGGGAGAAAGGAGAAATAAAGATAGTAAGAACAGAGGAAAGGGAATGAGAGAGGTTCAGGATAGTGGGGGGAGGAGTAAGTATGGTGAGAAAGGGAAAAGACAAAATGGGTGAAAACGAGAGAGAGGGATAGAATGTTGAGGGCAGAAGAGAGGGAGAAGAGGGAGTAGAGAGAATTAGGATGGTGAAAACGAGAGAATTATAGGATAGTGATAAAAAGAGCAGAGTTAATATGACAATAAATAGAGGATAGGCAGAATGGGGAGAATAGAGGAGAAGCAAGATGGAGATAGAGAGAGAAAAAAAACAAAACAAAGGAAGAAAAAAAAGAAACAAAATGAAAGAAGAGGGAAAATAAAACAGAAAGAAAGAAAAGAAAATGCAAGAAGAGGGGGAACGAAAGGGAAATGAGGAACGTGATAAAAGGGAATACATTAGTGGGCGTGATTTGGTAGCGGCGGAAAAGTAAGGGTTTCCGCGCGAAGATTAATGCTTAGATTAATGGCCGTTTGTTTGTTTGTTTGTTTGTTGTTTGTCTTGGCAGGTGGAAATGTGTGCTTGTGTTGAGCCTGTCACCTGCCAAGTCGACGGTTTATTTGGTGAAGAAGAAGCGAGAATTGCGTCTTTGTCTTCTCTCTCTTCGCTAATGTTTCTCTTGTTTCCTTTGGACGCCTCTCATTTTCTTCTCTTGTTTGTTTGTTTGTCTCTGTTTATGTTTCTCTCTGTTCTCTTGTCTCTGCTCTCTGTTCTCTCTCTCACTCTTACCTTCATTTTCTCTCTCTTTCTATCTATCTATCTATCTATCTATCTATCTATCTATCTATCTACTTTTCTTTCTCCTTCCCTTCCTCCCCCCCCCCTTCTTCCATCTCTTCTTCATTCTGCCTCCTCTTCTCCCACTTCCTCCTCCTCCCATCCTCATTCCCTCGCTCATATACCCCTTCTTCACCTTCTCCCTTTCTCTCTGTTCTTCCTCTCTCCTCTTCCTCTTCCTCCTCCCCCTCCCCCTCCCCCTCCTCCTCCTCCTCCTCCTCCTCCTCCTCCTCCTCCTCCTCCTCCTCCTCCTCCTCTCCTTCCTCCTCCCCCCCTCCTCTCCTCCTCCTCCTCCTCCTCCTCCTCCTCCTCCTCCTCCTCCTCCTCCTCCTCCTCCTCCTCCTCCCTCCCCTCTCCTATCCTCCTCCTCCCCCTTCCCCTTCCTCCTCCTCCTCCTCCTCCTCCTCTCTCCCTCCCTCCTCCTCCTCCTCCTCCTCCTCCTCCTCCCCTCCCCTCCTCCTCCTCCTCCTCCTGCTCCCTCCTCCTCATCTCCTCCTCCCCCTCCTCCTCCTCCTCCTCTTCCCCCTCCCCTACTCCTCTCCCTCCCCCTCCTCCTCCCTCCTCTTTCTCCCCCCTCATCTTCTCCCCCCCCTCCTCTTCCTCCCCTCCCCCTCTCCTCTCCTCCCCTCCCTCCCTCCTCCCCTCTCCTCCTCCTCCTTCCCTCCTCCTCCTCCTCCTCCTCCTTCCCCTCCTCCTCCTCCCTCCCCCTCTCTCTCCTCCTCTTTCTCCTCTTCCATTTTAAAGCGTGAAATGGTGCGGGTTAGCGTGAATGAAGGAACAGACGTGGATCGCTAAGGAAGAATGTGCGTGGTGTTGGGAGGCGGTCCTTAGCTCCCCTTTCCCTCGCTTCCTCTCTCCTTCTCCGTTCCTCTTTCCCCTCTCTTTCTACTCTTTTTTCCCCCTTTTCTTGTTCTCTTTCTTTTCTCTCTTTCTACTCTTTTTTTACCTTTCTCTTGCTTCTCTTTCTTTTCCTCTCTTCTTGTTTCTTTTCCTCTTTATTCTTTTCCCCCTCTCGTTTTTCTCCTTATCTTTCTCCCTCTTCCCCTCTCTTTCTCCCTTTTCCCTCTGTTTCTCCTCTTTCTCCCTTTCCCCTCTTTTTCTCCTCTTTCTTCCTTTCCCATCTGTTTCTCCACCTCCCTTCCATCTTTTTTCCCCTCTCCTTTCCTATCTGCTGTTTCCCTTCCCCTCTCCTCTTTCCTCCCCTCTCCTTCTCTCCTCCCCTCCTTTCCCTTCTCCTTCCATCTCTTCCCATGTCCTTCTCCTCTCCTTTCCCCTTCCCTTCCTCTCTCTTCTAGATGGATTTCTCTATGCATGGATGTATTTATGTATAAATGTTCAAGTAGGCATGAGTATATGTAAATGTATATGTATCCGTATATAAACATGTACGCACATTTGAGTATGTACGCATGAGGCTATGCTTTGATGTGCATTTGCGTGCGTGCGTACACACCCTCGCGCTCGCTCTATTTATACCGTCATTAGCCTCAAGCGCTCAAACGGCGGGTGTTGTCTCTGTTGCTAGGACGCTCCGCCCCGCTGCAATTACCACCGCTCGCGCTCTTGCTATTACTGTCAAGATTCGCGCTACCTGTTCGCGGGTAATTCTGCGCTAAAGACATTTTGGCTGTGCCGTTGCGTTGCTTTTTTTTTTTTTTTTTTAATTCTTCTTCTTCTTTTTTGAGGGGGGGGGGTGAGTCGGTTGGAAACCTTGGTAATAGTTTGGATTTTTTTTTCTCTTTAGATCAGTTTTGAACTTTTTTTTTTTTTTTTTTTTTTGGGGGGGTTGGCTGGATTTAAAGCTTAGTGTTTTATTTTTTTTTTTTTTACTAGAATTTCATTCATCTATTTTTTATTAGGTATTTTGGATTATCTTTTCTAGACTGCCTTTTTAAAATTGTTTCATTTTCGTTTCTTTTTCCTTATTTAGTGACCATTTTGGACTGGGTGTTTTAGGTTTCAGTGTAACAATTTGGCTCCCAAGGGAACTTCCTCGCTCGGTGCTGCTGGCGGGCGTCGGCGAAGCAGCACAGACGCCCTTGCACATAACCATGGACGCTGGACACAGAACGCAGGCACGGAGACACACGCAAACAAACAAAAAAGCAAACACATGTACACGCACGCTCGCACGCACGCACATACACACACACATATACACACAAACAAGTAAACAAACAAGCACAAGCAAACACACTCACAGACAAATAGACTTAGACACACAAACAAACAAACAAACACACTCACGCACTCACTAAATCACTCATTCAGAAACAAAGAAACACAGACAATCAAACGGATGTACACGCACACACACACACACACACACACACACACACACACACACACACACACACACACACACACACACACACACACACACACACACACACACACACACACACACACACACACACACAACACACACACACACACACACACACACACACACACACACACACACACACACACACACACACACACACACACAACACACACAGCAACAACAAAACAAAGAAATAAAGAACCACACCAAATGGATCTACAGGAAATCTAATGATAAACAAATAAAAGGCAGAGACCTTCGCAACAGCTCTCTCGAACATGCCCTTTAACCTCCGAGGCAGAGATGCAGGCACGCAGGCAGTGTAGATCTTCGGGGGTACTCTTCTCTCATCCCTTCCCGGCCTCCTTTTCTTCCTTTTTTTCTGTTTCTACCTCTCTTCCTCCTGATGATGATGTTGATGCTTTTCTTGCTCCTACTCCTGTTGCTGCCCACGCTCCTTTTCATCCTCCTCCTCCTCCTTCTTTTCTTTTCTTTTCCTTCTTTCTTCTCCACCACCCCCTCCTCCATATCCTCTTACCCCTCTCCTCCTCCTCACCTTCCTTTCTTCTTCTTCTCCTCCTCCTCCCCTCCTCTCTCCCTCCTCCTCCTCCTCCTCCTCCTCCTCCTCCTCCTCCTCCTCCTCCTCCTCCTCCTCCTCCTCCTCCTCCTCCTCTTCCTCTTCTCTCCTCCCCCCTTCGCCCTCTGCCCTCCCCCTCTCCTTACACTAGCACGCAGATGTTCCCTAATAAATGTGCCACTCCTTCTTGTGTGTATGTGTATATTTGTGTGTACGTGCGTGTGTGCACTTACGATTTCCTCGATATTTATGAGTGTGTGATTACAGCGTTTGCATTTACTACATCAGTGCATAGTCGAAGGTGTTTCGTTGCAGGTGTCTCTATTGTGCGTTGATAGATGTTGCAATAATGAGTGCAGGAATCGCCGTGCTTATTGGATGTGTCTCCTCGATGTCTTTTCTAGTGAGGATTCGAATCTCCTTTTCGAAACTTATTTGCCGGGGCGTGCGAATCTCTCCCTCTTCTCCCTTTCTCTTGCCTTACTCTACACCCTACTCTTCCTTCCTGCCATGTTGTTTTTCTTCCCCCCTCTCTCCTCCTACACTGTCTTCCTTCCCCCTTGGTCCTTCCTACAGGCTCCCCCTCTCCTCTTTTAGGTCAATTCGTTCCTCCCCTCCTCCCCTCCCTCCTACACAGCTCCCTTCCCCTTCACCCTCTCTGCAAGCTCCCCTTACCCCTCCCTATAAGCCCCCCCCACCCCTCACGGACCCCTAGGCCGCTCCCACTTCTCCCTTCACCCTCTCTGCAAGCTCCCCTTCCCCTCCCTATAAGCTCCCCCACTCCCCTCACGTAAACCTAGGCTGCTCCCCCATCTCCCCTCCCGCCTCCTCACCTCCGCACCCCCCACCCCCCCATACCGAAAGCGTCAGTGCTCGGACAGAAGAAGAAAGTCGAAACACAATTTCCAAATTCTTCCCCTTCTTCATCTTCCTCTCCCCCATTATCACTTTAACTCTCTTCCTCCCCCGTTACCCTACCCCCTGCCCCCCTCCTCTCGGTTCCCTTCTCCTGTTGTCCTCCTGTGTTCTTTCCCTCCTTTCTCTCCCTGTTTCCATTCCCCATCCTCACCCGTCTCCGTCCTTCTCCCCTCCCTTTTCCCTTCTCCCTCAACCCCCTGTCTCTCCTCCCTCTGAACCCATACCCCCTTTTTCTTAACGTCCGTTCCCTCTCCTGCTCCCTTCCCGTCCGTCCCTTCCCTCCCTTCCCCCCTCCCCCTTCCCTCCTCCCTCCCTCCCTCCGCCTCTTCCCCCTCCCTCCCTCCTCCCTCCCTCCCTCCCTCTCCTCCCCCTCCCGTCCCCCCCTTCCCTCCCTCCCTCCCCTTCCCTCCCTCTCCCTCCCTCCCTCCCTCCTCCTCCCCTCCCTCCCACCCCTTCCGCTCCCCTCCCTCCCCCTCTTCCCTCCCTCTCTCCCCCTTCCCTCCTCCCTTCCCCCCCTCCCGTGCCCCTTCCCTCCCTCCCTCCCCTCCTCCCGTGCCCCTTCCCTCCCTCCCTCCCTCCCGTACCCCCTTCCTCCGTCCGCTCCCTCCCTCCCTCCCGTGCCCTCCCCCCTCCCCTCCCTCCCTCCCTCCTCCCGTGCCCCTTCCCTCCCTCCCTCCCCCCCTCCTCCCTCCTCCCGTCCCCCTCCCTCCCTCCCTCCGCTCCCTCCCTCCCCCCCCCCCCTCCGTCCCTCCGTCCTCCCTCCCTCCTTCCGTCCCTCCCTCCGTCCCTCCCCTTTTCCCCAGGGACAATCGCCGCTCCGCGTCCGTTTCCGATAGAAGATTCCCTTTGTCGATCCCGGTGCGTGGAATGCCTGCGAGTTCGGAGGAAGGCCTCGCGTGCTCTGTGTCTCGGATTTGTTTAGAGGTCTTCCATTTTTCCTTCAGATCTTCGAGGACGACTCTTTCTTATTCTTTTGTTTGTTTTTATTTATTTTTCCCCCCATCGTGTCTTCAAGGACGACGCTTTTTTTCCGGGTGTTCAAGGACGAATTATTTGTGTTTTTTTTATTTTTTTTCATTTTTCTTCGGGTATTTTGAGGGCCCGGTTTGGAATGAAGGAAGAAATGCTAGTAAATATTTTTTTTTTTTTTCGTTTTTTATCCCTCAGATCTTCGAAGACGAGTGTCTTTTTTGATGATTTATTTTTTTTTCAATTATTTTCCATTCAGAAAGAAGCGCTAGAGTTTCTTTTTTTTTACAAATTTCTTTTTTTTACGTGCGTCTTTTTTTTCTTTCGTTTCCCGTGCCTTTGTCGGACGGACCGCTAGAATGTATAAAGAATCGTGCGATAGAATATGTATTATGCGATTTTTGTCTTTCTCTCTCTCTCTCTCTCTCTCTCTCTCTCTCTTTCTCTTCTCTCTCTCTCTCTCTCTCTCTCTCTCTCTCTCTCTCTCTCTCTCTCTCTCTCTCTCTCTCTCTCTCTCTCTCTCTCTCTCTCTCTTCTCTCTCTCTCCTCTCTCTCTCTCTCTCTCTCTCTCTCTCTCTCTCTCAAACTTTATCCGCAATACATCAGGCGAGATTTGCGAGCCGGCGTGGCGAATCTTCTGAAATGGAATGTAATTCTTTGATGCATATCTTGGTAGTTTATACATATACATTTTTTTTTCTAATCTACTGAAAAAAAAGGTATTTCAGAGATACGACATGTAATTCAGACTTATTTTTTCAGGATTTAGGGGCGTTGAATGACCTAGCCTGTGCAGGGTGTCAGTACTTTCCCGCCCTCTCTTGCGTGGGTACTCGGTTCCCTCTTGACCTCCTCTTGCACACACACACCTGTAGTGAAGTGCGCCAGAACCACCGCCGTTTCTCTTTGTATATTTCTCTTTTTCTGTCTGTCTGTGTGGTTGTCTTTCTTCATTGTCTGTCTGTTTCTGTTTTCTGTCTCTTCTGTCTTCTCTGTTCTGTTTTCTTCTGTTCCCCATGTCTCCTCTCATCTCCTCTCTCTCTCTCTCTTTCTCTCTCTCTCCTCTCTCTCTCTCTTCTTCCTCTCTCTCTCTCTCTTCTCTCTCTCTCTCTCTCTCTCTCTCTCTCTTCTCTTGCTCTCTCTCTCTCTCTCTCTCTCTCTCTCTCTCTCTCTCTCTCTCTCTCTCTCTCTCTCTCTCTCTCTCTCTCTCTCTCTCTCTCTCTCTCTCTCTCTCTCTCTCTCCTCTCTCCTCCCTCTCTCTCTCTGTCGCTCTCCTCCTCCCACACCCCCTCCCTCTCTTCCTCTTCCCTCTTCCCTCTCACACTCCTACCCCCATCTCCACTTCCTCTTCCTCTCCTTCTCCATCTCTCTCCTTACCTCGTCTCATTTCTCTTTTCTTTCCCTTTTTTTTACTCACACCATCACACTCCACCGCCACTAATGCATTTTGCTCGCTGTACCACCTTTAAAGCACTGTCTTCAACCCACTTATAGATATAGGTGATTTAACACAGCAAAAGGGGCGTGTCCTCTCTTAAGGAGGCTCTATTTCTCCTTTCTCGTTGTCTCGCTGTGTGTGTGTGTGTGTGTGTGTGTGTGTGTGTGTGTGTGTGTGTGTGTGTGTGTGTGTTGTGTGTGTGTGTGTGTGTGTGTGTGTGTGTGTGTGTGTGTGTGTGTGTGTGTGTGTGTGTGTGTGTGTGTGTGTGTGTGTGTGTGCATACTATGCTTTTCCTTAATCATTTATGTATAAGAATAGATGTCATACAGAAAGTAAAGTGAAGTGAAAAGGAAAATTCGAGAGAGGAAGGAAGAGATAATAAAGATGCGGAGAAAAAATATATTTGATCGGTCGAAAGGTAAAGAACATGCGCACGTTTGCGTTCACCTTTAGCCAGCATATGAAGCGGTTTGGCCTTGTATTTACCGGGATTGTGGTACACCTGCGTCACGTGACCTGGGTGATATGATGTCGGCGGGTGGAATCGGAAACATGCAGAGTGTAAGAGGTATAAGCATGCATGGGCACAAAAGATTTCTCTTTGACTCTTGTTTGTTTCTGTGTCTTTGTCTCTGTCTCTGTCTGTCTCTGTATATCTCTGTCTGTCTGTCTCTCTCTCCCTCTCTCCCTCTCTCTCCCTCCCTCCCTCCCTCCCTCTCTCCCTCTCTCTCCCTCTCCACCTCCCTCCCTCCTCTCCCCCTCCCTCCCTCCCCCCCTCCATCTCTTCCTTTCTCTTCCTCTACTCCCCCCCTCCTCTCTCTCTCTCTCTCTCTCTCTCTCTCTCTCTCTCTCTTCTCTCTCTCTCTCTCTCTCTCTCTCTCTCTCTCTCTCTCTCTCTCTCTTCTCTCTCTCTCTCTCTCTCTCTCTCTCTCTCTCTCTCTCTCTCTCTCTCTCTCTCCCTCATACTTCACACACAAAAGCATTATCACAAGAAGGGCGGAAGTGCGATGAGGTCTGATTGCTTGGTCGCTGATAAGGTCGCCAGAACAGCTGTTTGTTTGTTGATTGATTGTGTTGAGTTGTGATTGTTTGTGTTTCTTTCTGTTTGTTTGTTTGTTTGTGTGTGTGAGGGGATTCTGTTTTGTGTGTGGATGTCTGTGTTTGTTTGTTTGTTTGTCTTTGTGGATTTTTTTTTGTGAATGTTTTGTTTGTTTGTGCTTATTTGTGTTTGTTTGTGTGTGTGGGTTTTCTGTTTTTATTGTGTGTGGTATCTGTGTTTGTTTGTTCATCTTCGTGGATTTCTTTGTGATTGCTTAGTTTGTTTGTGTTTTTTTTTTTTGTTCATGTGTGTTTGTGAACTCTCCCGTGTCTCTTTTGTGTGTGCTAATGCATGTTCCATTTGATCTCTGCACTTGTTTTGTTTGTCTTTGTTCACGGTTTTGTATTTCTTGAGAATCATGTCATATTTTATCTTATTTTCTTTATTTACTTAAAGATGTACGTTTATGTTCTCTTCTGCGGAAATTCATTATTTATTCATTTTCTTTGTTGGTCATTTCTTCTCCGACTCGCTTTGGGGAAATAAGGGAAAATGACCTCTCTTGACCTCACCTCTTGAATGCTACTCACGAATCACTAATATTAATTTTCATTCATTTTCGATCATTAGTTTACATT